GGGAGCGGGGAGGGAGGGGGGAAATGAGGACCTAATGCCGGGGGCTTAAGTGGAGAGGAAATGTTTTGAGAATGATCAGGGCAATGAATGTACAAATGAGTTTTACACAATTGATGTATGTATGGATTGTGATAAGAGTTGTATGAGCCCCTAATAAAATGATTTTTTTTAAAAAGCCCTGGGCTTGCTCCAAAGGATCCTGGCTCTGGCTAAGACAGTGGAGTGTCTAAGGCTAAATTCTAACTGGCCTTCATAGTGGTAAGCCAAAATCCCCCAGCTCCTCAAAACCTAGTGGATCTGTGCCTTCTTAGCTTTATGATGCTCCTCCTGTGACCCGGCAGTGTGGAATTTCCCTGTTACTGACTCTCCTGCGCTGATTTCTGAGGAGTCCCTCTGGTATGTGTTACTCATTCACCATGTGGTTGAAGTCCCCTATTTGTCTTTTTATTCTTGGCTTTTTCTTTTTTTGCTTAGCACAACATTTTCATGGTTCATCCATGTCATAGCATGGGTCAGAACTTTATTTCTTCTACAAGAAACTTTTTATTGGGGATTGGGTGAGGCCTTACCGAACGGATCATGAGTTTTGCATCCAACAACTCCTGTGCTTTGTCTTACTCATTGCAATCTCCTCACTGCAACACCCCTCGTCACACCTTCTTCCTCACGCTTCCTGCCCTGCTCTCCTCACACTTCTGAACTTTGACCCTGGGCAAAATGCTGCTGCCTGCATCTCAAATGGTTGACGATTCTAAGATGTTCGTGCTTCTCTACTGCTATTATTCCCCGAATCAACTTGCCTATTGTTGAGCTGAAAATTGAGTCCCAGGGGGTGAGTGTAATTCCAGACCTGAAGGATCACTAAGGCCCATAGTCTTGGGGGTTCCATCAGTCTCTAACTGACCAGTAAACTTGGTCTGTCTTATGATTTTTGAGTTTCATTCCACCCATTTCTTCCATGCTGTCCAGAACTTTCTAATACGATCTTGTTCAGAGCAGTTGCTAAGGGTTGCCGGACACCATCTAGTTCTGGTCTTAGAGTCTTGGCGACTGAGGTTGGAGTCGTCCATTAGTCCATTGGGCTAATTGTTTCCAGATATCTTACATTTTCAGCACTCTTCACTCTAGACCGGGAGATTTATAGTTCGTTGCACCTTAAATGATGGCCACTCGTGAGCTTTTTAAGACCCCAGTTGCTACTCACAAAGTAGGTTGTAGAACATTGTCTCTGTGGACTACCAGTTGACCTTGGTGTCCCCTGAGACAATGGTCCCGAGCCTCAAGATCCAGCAACTTGTTCCCTCAAGGTGTTTGGTGCTGTCTAAGACATTTTCATAACTTTGTCCCACAATTGTCACCCCATTCATGGCTATATTTGCAGCAGAGTTAAATACCCACGTGCAAAACGATCCTCTGAGAAACCTGTATATATTTGTGGACATACTCCTATTCTCCCTCCCACACCTGTTTCCACAGCCTGCATATCTATCTATGCATATACTCGTAGATCATCATTATTGTAAAATTGTGGAACTCGATTTATTTTTGACTAAATAATAGTCTACCTTTGCTTATCCATTCACCTGCAGATGGACCACTTGGGTTATGTACACCTCTTGGTGTAAATGGTTCTGCTAATGAACATTGGTATACGAGTAGCTGTTTGAGTCCTTATTTTAAATTACCTTGGGTATATATGGGCCCTTCAAAAAGTTTGTGGGAAACGCCATTATTTTTAATTACATTTCCCCACAGACTTTCTGAAGGTCCCTCATATAACAGGGAGTGGAATTGCTGGGTCATATGGTCCTTTTATGTTTTTATTTTTCTTTTAATTTCCTTTTTTTCCCTATTTTTCCAGGAACTTAATTTTTTTTTAAATTAAAAGATCATTTTATTGGGGGCTCTTACAGCTCTTATAACAATCCATACATCAATTGTATCAAGCATATTTGTACATATTTTGCCATCATATTTTCTAAACATTTCCTTTCTATTGAGCCCTTGGTATCATCTCTTTTTTCCCTCCCCCCACTCCTTGATAAATTTTTGTTATTTTTGTATCTTACACCAACTGCTGTCTCCCTTACCCCATGGTTTCTTTTGTTCGTCCCCCGGAGGGGCATTGTGTATTTATGTGTCGATCATTGTGATCGGTTCCCTCTTCCCTGTCTCCTCTCCCCACCTTACCCCTACCCTTCTGGTATCGCTACTCCCATTATTGTTCCTGGATTTCATGTGTCCTGAGCTCTTATCTCTTACCTGTACCTGTGCACATGCTCCAGTCTAGCCTACAGTGAAAGGCAGGACTGGGGTCATGATTCTTTTTAAGAATTCCATAGTGTGCTTGCACACCTCCCTTCCATCCTAGGAATTACTCTAAGGCTATGAGGCTGAAGAAGCACCACTTCCTCTTGGTCTACATCTATAACGGGCACTTTCTGGCTTCCCCGCAGGCACCTGACATTCTTTTTACTTCCCAGGCAGGTTTTGCGGCGATCAAGTCCCAGAGCCCCTCATTTCCACAGACAGCCGGCTCTGGGTAGAGTTCCGCAGCAGTAGCAACATCCTGGGCAAGGGCTTCTTCGCCATGTATGAAGGTGCGTTCCTGGTGAACGGAGCCGCGCAGGGGCTCCTAAGATAAGATGCCTCTGTCCTCCTGTTCCTCTCAGATTCAGGCATGAGTGGCAGCTTGCCAGAGCCAAGCGGGTCAGGGCCAGGCCACTGTTGCACCCCTGCAGAGGCCATGGTAGATCCCAGGGCACACTTCTCCCCCACCTGCTGGAAGGAGCACAGCCAGCTGTGTTCACCACAGGCCGGGTGACCTGTTCACTTCAGTCGACCTGGGGAGTCAGCTTCCCTGGTACCCGGGTGGTGTCAGGTTATCAGCATACCTAGCAATGACAGAAACATCCAAACCACTATAAGAGCCTGAATGAACATCTCACCTCTGTGCCTCTCATTCATTCACTTGTGCAAAGAGGACTCCAGATGACATCAAGGGGTTTCGACCTAGTTTCTTGAGGCCACCCTGGTGGCTGACTCATGGGCATCCATTGAGCTGGGGCTTTAGGCAGCTGCCACCAGGCTACCACCAATTCCGTTTGTTACACAAGGCTCTCCACCGTGACTATAAAGGAAAAAACTACATCATGACCAAGGCTCCTTTTAGCTTTAGATTGTTATAATTTTAGAGAGGTCCAAGTTTTGGTTTTGTGAAAGGAAGTGTGTGTGTGTGTGTGTGTGTGTGTGTGTGTCCCTGCCCTGGCTATAATTTAGAGTCACTTGGGGGGCGGAGGGGGGATTCCAAATTACTACTTCTTAGCGCATACCCAGAGCACTTGGATCAGATGTGGGATGTGGCCCTAGCTTCCGTGACACGAAACATAGACCAAGCGAGCAGGTGATGCTCGGTGAAGGTAGGGAGCCGCTGCTTTATCAGGTGATTTTCTTTATGTGAAAAAATTCAGTGTTGAAAACATGTTCTTGAAGGCATGCGCTTTGATGGACGCAAAGAAAACCGCTGGTACGTGGCGCCATCTCGTGGTGGTAAGTGGCCACCCACCTTCCTTTACCACGTCTGACCTGCACCCTTCCTCCTGTGCTCTCCCTAAAGCCACATGTGGGGGAGACATTCACAAAGACTCCGGTCAGATTCAATCTCCCAACTACCCGGACGACTACCGACCTTCCAAGGAATGTGTTTGGAGGATCACGGTCTCCGAGGGGTTCCACGTGGGGCTGACCTTCCAAGCGTTCGAGGTGAGTGCTGCTCGGTCGCCTTTCCTAGGGTTGGGGTCAGTGCCCGTTTTAGCTAGACGCCCTCTGCTCCGTAAAGCTGGGTTCTCCCTTCCTGGTTAAAGCCAGGGACCTAAGAGGCCACTGGTCAATCATACCTGTCATCTGGGATTGAAACGTTTGCCGGCGTTGGAATTGGGTCAGGTTCTGGTGCCGTCGTGGGTTATAGGTTGGACTGCTAACAACAAGGTCAGTGGTTCAAACCCACCAACAGCTTGATGGGAGAAAGATGAGGCTTTCTGCTCCAGGGAAGATCGACAGCCTCAGAAACCTCCCGGGGGGCAGTTCTACCCTGTCCTGCAGCCACTCGGGGGCGGGGGCGGCAGTGGCGGTGGGTGGGTGAAGGCTGCCGGAGGGATGAGTCGTCACTGAAATGTCAAAAAGGAGGGTGGCCTCCAAGAAAGCGTTGTGCTGTTGGCCTTCCACCTCCCGCTGGTGGCTCGGTGGTAGAGTGCTTGCCTCCCACGTGCGAGACCTTCCTGAGTGCGAGACCAATATACCTGACAGTGGAGGCACGCGTGCCGCTGTGATGCTGCATGCTCCAGTGGCACATTCAGACTAAGACACACTAGGGAGAGAGGCCTGAAGACCAGCAGCGAAGGCCCTCCTTACCGCCACCGCAATGTGAACCCTTTCGAGCCTGTAGTTGCCGTGCGTTGGGGTCCATTCCGTGGTTATCAAGAACGAGTCTCTCCCTCACTGGATCCAGCCTTGACATCCACAAGTAGAGGAAGCTCAGAGATGCCCCAGATGTACCTGGGTCCTTTTGGCTAGATTTTGGAGAGGGGCATTTAGGGTCCCTAATTATCGGTCAGCCCCCGCCCCCCGGCCCTTCCCCCCCGCCCCCCTGTAGTCATCCGTGTACCTCCTTTTCTCCATCTAGATTGAAAGGCATGACAGCTGTGCGTATGACTACCTGGAAATCCGAGACGGCCCCACAGAAGAGAGCGCCCTGATTGGCCACTTCTGTGGCTATGAGAAACCAGAGGACGTCAAGGCCAGCTCCAACAGGATGTGGATGAAGTTTGTGTCCGATGGCTCCATCAATAAAGCCGGCTTTGCTGCCAATTTCTTCAAGGGTATGAACCAGCACTGGGTTGTCACTTTCAGTACCAGGAAGCGATCTGGCCGCCCCCCCCCCCACCACCTCCCTGTCCAGCTTAAGAATCACCAGACACTCCGGACCTTAGCAACGAGCCAGGGTTCCTATAGGGAAGGGACAGCAGCCCATTGGAGAGAGGAGCACAGGGTCCCCCACAGAAGTCACCAAGGACTGAGGCACCGACTTAGCCTTGGCTTCCACACAGCAGAAAGTCCTGCCACTGCTTGTTGGAAATTAGCTCCCCCTAAGCCTGCCAGGTGGCACGGTACCCTCGGGACACTGAGCAGCAGTCATAAACTTGTGGCACACAATAGCTGCCGGTCCTCAAGCTCCTACTGCGAGACAGCAACATGCAAGGTCCCTGGTTTACGTGATGTCGTTGAATTCTTAAGTCAAGCCTCTGAGTCAGATTTCGATCGTGCTTGATCTGGGATAGGAGCCCCGGCGCTGTGCTGGGTGGGCTGAGCTCTGCAAGGTCAGCAGCTGGAACCCACCAGCCTCTTCCGGAGAGAGGTGGGTTTTTCTATTCCCACAAAGAGTTGCACTCTCAGAAACCCACAGGGGTAGTTATCCCCTGTCGTATAGGGTCACTGTGAGTCAGCATTGACTCGATGGCTGAGGGAGGGAGGGAGTGGGGATACAAGGGCCTGTCCAACAGCCCCAGGACTGAAGTTGAGTTTGGTATTCCTTTCCAGTGAGCTAATTGGTACCCAGTTGGCACTGACCCATCTTGACCTCTTTTCTGGTTCTGCTCATAAGCAGCAGTACACATTTTTGAGAGATCTGGCAAAGGCTGGATATGAGAGTGGCCAGAATTAGCACGCGCGTGCGCGCACACACACACACACACACACACACACACACACACACACACACAAAGTGCCCAGTTGTTTAAATGTCCGATGCATGATGCATTCTCTTTTAGTGTATCTCTCAAGTATCGCATACCTAAGAAATGTGTGTGTCTTTCGATGAGGCTTCTACATTTTATGTGGTCACCGACCAGGGCCATGGAAAGGAATGCTTCATACTAAATGGGCCTGTCAGGGGCTGAGGTAAGAGCCTTGACCTTCTACCATTCTGACCAGCCTCACTGGATGGTTTGGAACAGGGTCAGCAAACTTTCGAGGCAGAAGAGCCAATCCCATCCCAAATGATCCCATCCCAAATGATCAAATAAGTTAAAACTTATTTGAGGGCCGTCAGTCTCTCTTTACAAGCAAATGATCTCATCATTATCTGCGTCGTCGTCTTATTTTCATTTTGAATTTCACTTCAGAGCCACCTGTGGTTCACGGGCCACAGCTTGCAGCCCCCTGGCCGGAAGGTCTTCTGTCCACTGTGCTGGCCTGCCGGCTGAGGAGTGCAGCAGCCAGTAGCCACGCTCCTGCCGTGCGATAAGAACGATACAAGGCTCTTGGCTTACATGATGCCGTGACATTCCTGAAGCATGCCTCTGAGTTGGATTTCCAGCGTGCTTGACACACTGGGTTAAGCATTGGTCTGCTGAGATCATCTGTTTGAGTTGAGGCAGTCTGCTTTTGTCAAGATTCAGAGCCTCGGAAGCCCCGGGGAGCAGGTCTCTGCTGCCCTTTAGGGGCCCCATGAGAATGGACGTGTCGGCAGTGGGTTTGGGGTGTGGGCTGAGGATATTGGTGAAGGGCCCTGGCGTTCCCTGTGGGTATGTAGACCGAGGAGAAGGCTGTGGTCCTGGCCTGCTCTTGGGGTGGGGGTGGTGCTGGGGGAGCTCTGATTGTCCAATCTAGCTTCTTCAAGGGCACTTCAGTGTGCAGGCACCTCTGTAGACACCCCACAGGGTGTTAATTGAGACCCACCTGCACTAATCTGTGCATAGACTAGGACTGTACAGGCAGACTGCGGGGAACCAGCACACTGAAATACACAACAGTACTGACCTTGACCCTTAAAGGAGGAGCCAGGACTCTCTGAAAGCTCCTGGGACTCCTCCCGCAAGGGGGAAAGAAAAATCCCAGATCAAGTGCTTCTCAAGACCATGTGCCAGCAACTACATATGTTCCCTCACCTTATCTTCAGAACAACCCCTTGATGGGCATTGTTAGTGCCCCCATTCTCAAAGGGAAGAATTGGAAGTTCTAAAGGGGTGAATCTACAACTAGCACCTGGATCCAGAAGACCCCAAAGTCCACTTTTTTTCTCCTAAGCCCCACTGTTTAGCTCCAGCACCCGAAATTCCTGAGGAAAGACAGTGGAGGGATTTGAACTTCAGTCCCATCACTACTTGTGCTGGACTCTGCCCTTGTCAGCTTGCAGCGTGTCCTATCCAGCTGGGGTCCGCGGCAGAGAGCCCTGGGTTTTGCATCTGAAGTTCTGGGCCCTGGGCGTGTCTGTGTCCCTGCCTTGGGAGGAGGGCACTTTCCCTGTCTGAGGCTGCATCAGGCTCGGTTTGTCCTCCGATATTCCCAGTGCCGGGAACATAGTCGCGCGGTCCTCGTTGAGCAATGGACAAATGGGATGGATGGAGCTCCGATTCCTTATTTATGAATCGTCCAAGGAGTCGTGAGGTGGAAGACAAGCCCAGAGCATCTCTTGCCAACAGAAACTCGAGAGCGCTTCAACGCGTCCGCAGGACAACTCCATTCCCTCTTAATTCCACCCGTCAGTGAGCTTTTGGAAGCCCCCTCAGGGAAAGAGAGCCAGAAGAATGAGCCACACAGGAAATTCTAAACATTCTCATAGCCACCTGATATATTATTAAAAAAGAAACTGACATTCCTTTTAACATCTATTGAGTCCTATATATCCCAAAGACGATCATTTAGCATGCAGTCAAGATAAACATTCCTACTAAAGATCGTCTAGATTCGGTTTTCCTTACGAAGCACAGTGGTTAGGCGGCACGGTCACGCCTGGGTTGCTAATCACAAGGTCAGTAGTGCAAAACCGTTCTCCACTGCAGGAGAAGGATGAAACCTTCTACTCCCGTCGAGAGCTACAGCCTCGGAAACCCACAGGGTCAGTGCGACCCTGTCCGCTAGGGTCACTCTGAGTGGGAATCGACTCTGTGGCAATGAGGGGTTAGTTTTTGTCGTGTGTGTGTGTGTGTGTGTGTGTGTGTGTGTGTGTGTTTTAAGCCTCCAGTGTGTATGTTGCACTCCAGACTCGCCTCGAGTTAGCCTAGCTGCATTTCAAGGGCTCAGTTGCCACTTGTGGCTGGCGGTTACCATGGCGGGCCGGGGGAGGCTAGAGACGGAGGAAAGCCGCTCTCTTGAGACCAGGCTTCTCCCCGAGTGATCACCAGGAAGATGTTCTGGGAACACCAAGTGTCCAGCACTTGTGCGGGTGCTTCTCCAGCGAACGAGGTGGGCAGAGCCATGGCGGTGGCTGTGCAGCAGGGTGAGAGCAAGCCCAAGGAGCTCTTGTCTTCATGCCAGTTGGCAGGTTTTACCCAGGCAGGGCCCAGCTGGCGGACGACACCAACCAGGGTGCCAGCCGGCCTTGGCCTCCTTGTGCCAGCAGCAAGTGGAACACCTCCCGTTGCTGGTTGCTTCTGCGGGGTGGGGTGGGGGAGTGCAAGGGGTTGGCAACAGCATTCCAGGGTTGGCAGTGCCATTGGAGTCCCACTCTGCTCTTGTTGGCGGATAGCATGGTTCCTGCATGCTAATGTCTTCCCCAGGACGGCTTTGATGAGGAGAGGGGGGCTGCCTACAAAGGGTTTCTTTCTTCAAAAGCTTAGAGAGAGGAACCTGCTTTCGCTTCCCATCCTTCTCTCTGGGACAGCTTTCGGGGGCCTTATCGAACCCGAGACAGGTTCTGTCTTTCATGAATACCACCTGGAGAATGCAAAGATCTCAGAAAAGTGGGTACTGGTTCCACCTTGTTTCTCCACCCAAAGCTCTTCAGGAGTCTTCTGGTTGTGTGGCCTCGGCTGCTGTAGCCCAGGGCTTGGAGAGCCTGTCTCACCACAGCATGGAGGCAATGCAGAGGGGAGCCCGCTGAGCAGAGAGTCCTGGTCCACTCTCATGCCGTCCACCTGAGTTGGATCTTGTAGATGGCCAGACACCCCCTGGTCGTGCTGGAGGGAGGATGCCTTCCTTTCACCCACATTCCTTTTGCTTTAGGCCCAAGTCCATGCATTGGTCTTGTCCTCTCCACCCAACTGAGATGGCTCTAAGGGACGGTCCTGCCCACAGCCATCTGATATTAGACCCATCTCCTGTCAGGTCTTTTGCTTATCTTATTCTCTTGGGCTCTTGGCTTCCTCTGTTTCTCCTCCTCATGTACCTATTAGCCAGGTTTCTAGAATCTTCCACCTGGTTCTCTTGCCTGTCAAGTTTTCTTTCATGGACCCATCCTTGATGCATATTTCTTTCTGTTTCCACCTTATTTCCTCCCCCTAGCCAGACCTGTACCACACACTCTCAACTGGTTCAGGTGTACAACCTTCTCCTGTGCACCCTCCCACCATTGTGTGATTCTCCCCGTTAGAGTGTTGACGGCAACTCCACCGGCTTCTATCCCTGCTACTCGTTTTTCTGAGTAAATCTTTAAGAAAGCAGACGGACACATCTTTCTCCCTTGAGTGGCTAGTGGGTTCAAACTGCTGGCCTTTTGGTTCACAGCCCAGCACTTAACTGAGCCACCAGAGCTCCTCTGTCTTCCCTAGTGTAGCCAGGTGGGGGCCCTTTGGACACTTCACGTCTGTCATCTTCAGTCTTACTACAATGCCTGCCTTAAAAGCAGGTGTTCTCATTTTAAAGCAGGCGGGGGCACTCAGGTCAAATTGCCAGCCTGAGGTCACTCGTGCTTGTTTGTTTTTGTAGAAGCAACGTGGTCTGACTTGCCCTAAAGACAGGTGTTTTTTTTAAGTCTCTTTATTATCTAATCTCGTCTTTCTCTCAAACCCGAATCCAAACTCACGGTCAACAAGTTGTTCCCAACTCATAAGGACCCTGTCGGGCTGAGTAGAACTGTCCTTTTCTGAGTTTCTGAGACTGTCGCTCTTTATGAGAGTAGAGAGCCTCATCTCTTTCCCTCAGAGCAGCTGGTGGTTTCAAACTACTGACCTTTGAGCTAGCAGCCCAACGTGCAACCACTATGCCACTGGGGATCTGTTTTCCTAGCAGAGACCCAAGACATGCTTCGCCTTTTGTAAATACTCTCTTGCGTGACTGCTACCATTAGCACGTGCCGACTAGTTATATTTGTTTGAGGCTGTAGACAGTGCCAATGTCCCGCCTAGACCATCACTCCTCAACTCAGTCTTCCCTCTTGACCAGCTTTTAAAAGTCTCTGTTGGACCCAAGAATGCATCACTCTAAAAGTTACCACTGTTTTCTTGCCACGAAGCAAAAAAAAAAAAAAAAAAAGAACACGGATGCTTCCAGGCTGTCTTTGACCGGGAGGGGAGCAGCCACGTTGGGGAGGATGCCGGGCACCACCCCGCTGACGAGGAAGATTGGAAGGAAGTGGCCTTCCTTGAGTCAGAAGAGGCTAGAGGGAAGCTGATGTGCCTCTGCCTGGGTCCGCATTACAGGACTGAGACCGATGGGTTGGAAATCGCCATCTGACGCCACTCGTCAGGAATGTTAACAGAAGCCCACACGTGGCTGGCCTGAAGCGACCTGACAGCTTTGCAAGTCTTCTGACTCTAAGCGCTTCTGATTCCTTTTAGGGGGTGTCTAACGAGATCTTTCAGGGCTTGATGCACAGCTTCCATGTGTGCCCTAACCCTACCTCCCATGGAGTCAGGACACACCTGGCCCAGCCTTCTTCTCCCTAGACTGGCCCCTTTGGGAAGATGCCCCGGTTGAGTGATTCAAGCACCGTGGCTGGCTTCTCTTCTGCCTCTGGTGCTCCCCTTGGAGATGCCCAGAGCCCGGCTTCTCCTTTCCTGCAATGGCCCAGGCAGATTCCCCGAGGACTCCTCGGTTGTCTTCTGAACAGCACTGTGCCTCCCTTTGCCATGTTATCTAATTGCCCCAAACCCATGACTAGATCCTTGCCAGTGCAGCATCCCTCGCCTCTCCCCCCCCCCTTGCCTCCCCCCTCGTGCTCAGCTGCCTCCTGGCCTCTTCTTGCCTTCCATTCCAGGAGCATTTGCTCACCCAAGAGCCCTGGGTCTAACCTTGGCCATTTTCCAGTGCATCTCTCTTCCAATTAGTTATACGCAGGCTAAGTAACCGGTTCTGCCCCTCCGCTCTAGAGAATACTTACCCGTTCAGATGGTCCCTGAGCAGTTCCATGTTTAGGGGGGAGACCTGGCCCCTGGGCCACGGAAGTGGAGCGGAACCTTGTGAGATATTTTGAAATGACAAAGGAATCCCATTGACCGTGATCTCCTCCCCGGGGATAGCGCGTTGCTCTGCCTGGTCTCCCCCAAGTGCCTTGCTCACCCTCGGGAGCGCTGCCGCCACAGAGCTCCCCCCAGTGGGCGGCTAGCGAGAACAGGCGTTTCTTTTCTCAGAGTCCTGGGGGTCATTTGTCTAACACGGGGTCTCAGGCGTGCAGATCCCCTCTGGGTACCCCTCTCCCAAGTTTTTGGTAACTGCCGGCAGTCCAACAGGTTCCTTTGCTCATTTGTAGCCAAGCTGCCCCTACCCCACCCCACCCCCTGCTGTCGACTCGTTTAAAAATCATAACCACCTTGCAGGGCAGAGTAGAACCGTCCACAGGGGTCCCGAGGCTGTAATCTTCCCAGACACGGACGGCCTCACCTGGCACCTGTGGATCAGCTGGTGGGGTTTAGGCTTGGCAGGTAGCAGCCCAAACTTCCTAACCCACAGTGCCCCCCACCCCTACCCCCGGCTCCTGATGGGTCCTCATGTGGCATCTGTCGCCCCTCCTGTGAGTGCCTTCCTCTGCTCTGCTCTCTGAGTGACTCGGAAGCGATTCCATTGGCATCCATCCTGCTCTGACACTTCATTCACATAAAAAAACCACCCTAGTTCCAAATGTGAACAGCTCTGGGGGCTAGAATGTCCATGCCTATTGGGGAGGACAAGATTTAATCCGGACCTTTCTGGCTGGTTGGGGAAAAGGTAGTGTGGGGTGGAGGGGTGGAGGCTCGGGGTCTGCAGGTGGTCATGGGAAGCCTGGCTCTGATCACGCTTCCCTCTGAGTCGGGGGCTGGGGACGTGGCAGTGGGTGGGGCGGACGACAGGCCGGGTCTCCAGTGACTTCACCCCAGGCCTCTGCCTCCCTCGACAGAGGTGGATGAGTGCTCCCGGGCCGACCACGGAGGCTGCGAGCAGCGCTGTGTGAACACACTGGGCGGCTACAGGTGCGCCTGCGAGCCTGGCTACGAGCTGGCTGCCGATAAGAAGGCCTGTGAAGGTAGGTGTTGCCCCCGCACAGCCGGGGGACCAGCCTCGGGCGCCTCGAGTGGCAGATGGTGGGCTGGAAGACCCACCAGGACCGTGAGAACCAGATGTCATCCAGTCGGCTCTGACTTGTGGTCACCACTCGTGTGTGGGAGCAGAACGGTGCCCCGTAGGGTGTTCACTGGCTCCTTTTGGGGAACTCTATTACCCAGGTGCCCACGGGCAGACCCCATTCCCCAGCTTAGCAGGTTAGCTGTTTTGTTCTAAGTGCACCGACTCCGCCCTTGAAAGGGTCAGTCCAGGACCAGGGGGCTCCTTTCCCCTGTGGCAGAGGCAAATACACGTGACTTAAAAGAAGAAGAACATTGTAATTTTGGTGAACCCTTACAAAGCAAACAGGTTCCTGGTCAGACAATTGGTATGCCACTTATTCAGCATCCTTGGTTACATTTTTCACAACTGTTTCGCATCTGGCCACGTGTTGTATGTAGGTGGTTGTGTTTTTAAGAGCACTGTGCTAATGGTGATGTCGTTTCTGTTTTGAGCGAATCTGACATTTCACTGAAAGCTGACCGCTGGGCTGGCTTCAGTTCCAGGTTGAAGGGTGTCTGAGAGCAGCAATCTGGAAGGTTCCTCTAGTCTCTATGGCCCAGCAAGTCTGGCCTGCCTTAAGAATTTGAGTTTGGCTCCACATCCCCCC